CCACCTGCAACCACAAGGGCCAAGCCCTTCCCCCTCGGCACTCCCGACCCCGTATTGAACAGAAATCCGCTTTTCACCGAAGTGGTTAGGTTAAAGCTGTCGCACGCGTATTTCGGCGCGCAAAAATCTGTGCGGCATTGCTGATCGATATTGCCACCGGTCACACCAAGAGAGAAACATCCGTCGTCTTGCTCTTTCTGAGGCACCCCCCATTCATACCCATGTTCCCCCGGACCCCCGACACTGCCATCCCCTGTTCCTACTTCCTGGCCACCTTCAACCACAATGGCCAAGCCCTCCCCCCTCGGCACTCCCGACCGCGTATCGAACAGAAATCCGCTTTCCACCTAAGTGGTTAGGTTAAAGCTGTCGCACCCATATTTCGGCGCACAAACGTCTTTGCGGCATTGCTGATCGATACTGCCACCGGTCACACCAACAGAGAAACACCCGCCGTGTTGCTCTTTCTGAGACACCCCCCACTCAAGCCCATGTTCCCCCAGACCCCCGACACTGCCACCCCCTGTTCCCACTTCCTTACCACCTGCAACCACAAGGGCCAAGCCCTCCCCCCCTCGGCACTCCCGACCCCGTATCGAACAGAAATCCGCTTTCCACCGAAGTGGTTAGGTTAAAGCTGTCGCACCCATATTTCGGCGCACAAACGTCTTTGCGGCATTGCTGATCGATACTGCCACCGGTCACACCAACAGAGAAACACCCGCCGTGTTGCTCTTTCTGAGACACCCCCCACTCAAGCCCATGTTCCCCCAGACCCCCGACACTGCCACCCCCTGTTCCCACTTCCTTACCACCTGCAACCACAAGGGCCAAGCCCTCCCCCCTTCAGCACTCCCGACACCGTATCGAACAGAAATCCGCTTTCCACCGAAGTGGTTAGGTTAAAGCTGTCGCACGCATATTTCGGCGCGCAAAAATCTGTGCGGCATTGCTGATCGATATTGCCACCGGTCACACCAAGAGAGAAACATCCGTCGTCATGCTCTTTCTGAGGCACCCCCCACTCAAGCCCATGTTCCCCCAGACCCCCGACACTGCCACTCCCTGTTCCTACTTCCCCGCCACCTTCAACCGCAAGAGCCAGGGTCATTTCTCGTCGCACTCCTAAGAAAGACGCCAAAACAGTCAACGACAACAACTGGGCGCGGAACATGTGCATGCCGCCGACGTACGTTCAAAGGTTTCTACTCAGTAATGATCTGCCATTTCTTTGACGTTTGTCAATCTTCTGTTCAGATTTCAGAGATCTTCTAGATGCTCTTTGCACCCGATCCTGCTCTCGGTACCTCGGCTCCGTCTGCTGCTGCTGGACCTAGCGGCCGCCTTGCTCGATCTCCGATCGATCACGGGGTCGCGAGCACAGTTCCGTTCGGGCCTCCACGTGTGTGTGTGCTTTCAGCACCCGTGTCTTGAAGCTTCCTTCTCCTCGGCCCCTTTGGCTGTTGCTTCCTCCTCTCACCACGCTGAGCTGCTCCTGCCGCTGACTCTTCCAGAAGCGAGGCTAAAGGATCTCCGATCGAGCTTTTGTTTGGATCTCTCGAAAACTTCTCTCCGGGACCACGTGTGTGTCGCGCACACGTGTTCCGATGTTGCCCTCTCGTCGGTACGTGCGACTGTTTCTGCCGCTGCTGCTACTGCTGCTGCTGCTCCTGCGTCCTCCGCTGTGGGCAATTTGCGGCGGATCCGGCTTGTACGATCTACGATCAGTGGATCGTCGCCGCAATGAATCCAAACTGACTTCAACAAGCTCTCACCTGTACCAGCCCCTTCACTGCTACCTCTTATGTTTCCCTCCTTCACGATATCTCTCCACGCTTCTCCACGCGGATTTTTCTCTCTCGATGCCTGACTCTTTTCTCTCGGAAATCTTCCAGCCGGACTTTTTCGCACAATCTCCGATCGACTCTTTTTGGATCTTCCGCAAAGCAAGCACGTCGACGGGACAGGCACCACTTGTTGTTATTATGGTGCGACACGGCGGGAGAGAGCGGCCCCTGCTCTGTAGAGAGGCACACATACATCACAGCACGGGACCAGTAACACATCACGCTCGTTCCTAGACGATGTAGTACCACTGATGTGCTGTGCACCTCTCTACACTCATTGTGGGCGAGAGGGTGTGTCGCCTCTGCTGCTGCTGCTGTTGCTGTTATCTAAAGCGGTGGCGGAAGCGTCCTGTTCAAACAATCAGCAGCAGCAGCAGCACAAGCCGCGGATTTTTTCAACGTTTTTTTTGNTGTGTCGCTTCTGCTGCTGCTGCTGTTGCTTTTATCTAAAGCGGTGGCGGAAGCGTCCTGTTCAAACAATCAGCAGCAGCAGCACCAGCCCGGGAATTTGTCAACGTTTTTTTTTTTCCTCTCTAGCTAATGACGATGGATAGCACCCCTCCTTCGCTAGCCGGTGACGATGGATAGCACCCCCCCCTCACGGCTGACGATGGACACCACCCCCCTCGCTAGCTCATGATGGACACCACCCCCCCGTCTAGGGAATGATGATGGATACCACCCCCTTCTCTAGCTGGTGATTATGGACCGCCCCCCGATCTTCTGGACGACGAGAAAATCACATGAGCCAGCCAATGAACAGACGCACGAGCCTACTGCAGGTACTTTTGTGCAACCACCACAAAAAACTGTTTCACCTCCAACTCTTGTAACTTTTATATCGGATTCAGGCTCCGAGATTGAAGATAGGGGGATGATGTGAATGCCACCTCAGACTGTCGTAGATTGTGACGTCAGATGACCTGTCGGAGATCTACCCTCGGGGTGTTACCGCAGATAGAGTCAGTGCAGGTTGGATGTTTGACCTTGCTTCAACACAAGGTTTATCCCCACCTGACACACACACTCAACTCAACGTTCCGTACATCACCCTCTCCACCAGAGGTTGATCCGGTGTGTATCCACACCACCCATCCCTAAGGGAACATTCTCACACGCGAACCTGGAGACAACGATCTCATATATCATTTTTTTTCATTTGTCCTTACTTCAAATCAGCGCTCACAGCACTAGTGCCGTTTTCTCCAACCCGTGGTAACACAAAATAACACCTCTCTACCCTCGCCTGCTGCGGTACTTTGCGTTCGATTCGTAATGCGAGAAGAGTTTAGCACTCTCTTTCCTCCTGTACACACGACATAGTAAACTAGCGCTATCCACCAGGTGGGCCAGGTGCGGAAGCGAGAAAAACTCTCACTTTGCAAGAAAAGCTCGCTTACCCCGCGATTCGAACCCCTGACCTGACCTCTAAAAGGTTTCGAGGACACCATCTAGACCTCCGGGGCGACCGGGAGGTTATTGTTTATGTTGCTGTTGTTGTTGTTGTTGTTGTTGTTGTGATTTCTTCACATTAGACTCGTCAGTTGCTAATCCCAAAATCTAGCAAAGACTCCGTCCGTGGTCACAAAAATGCTAGAGCCATCAGAAGATCCAAAGAACACACACACTATTAGCAAGGAAAGGGGACGCAAGCCCGAGGAGGTACACCTGCAATCCCTGCAGCACGTTTGCGTGCTCACAACTTAACTCTAAGCCCACACACTACAAATCGACTACAGCGTACTGCTGTCTGAAGTGCTGTCTGTACAATAATAACACCATGGTGCATGGTACACATGCTCGGGGCATGGATNAAGATCCAAAGAACACACACACTATTAGCAAGGAAAGGGGACGCAAGCCCGAGGAGGTACACCTGCAATCCCTGCAGCACGTTTGCGTGCTCACAACTTAACTCTAAGCCCACACACTACAAATCGACTACAGCGTACTGCTGTCTGAAGTGCTGTCTGTACAATAATAACACCATGGTGCATGGTACACATGCTCGGGGCATGGATCTGCTGTCTGAAATGCTGTCAGAATGAGCCCGTGGACATACAATTAAGAAGAACGCCCAACCAAAGCCATCATTGCAATTGACAATCACCCGAATCTATCCAGATCATCTGTGTTAGGCACAGCAGTGTAAACATCGACACTGACTACGAATCGTTCCACATTGAAGGGGCCTTCCCCGATGCAGGTACACAATTAAGGCACCCGGGTTATCCGCGCCATCTCTGCCAAGTCTCTCTACAAAACCAGTGACGTCATCACACACACCCAACACCTAGATTCAGGAAAAAAAACGGAAAAATAATCGACAATACAAAAGATGTTTGTCCGTGCATCACGGTTCGATGCCGTCCGCCTGCTCCGGTTCCGCTGCCCCGGTGCCGCTGCTCCGGTGCCGCTGCTCCGGTGCCGTTGCTCCGGTGCCGCTGTGGCTAGTCCTAGCACGACCAAACTCGACCCGCTCCGCTTCGTACACGCTTTCGTTGCTGTCCATCCCAGTCGGTTCCTCGCTTTCTCCCTCGTTGCACTTAGGGTTCTCGGTTTGAAGATTCTCGCGCCGAAGGGTCAACCAGCCCAATGATCTCGTCACCACCTGTCCCCTCCTCCTTTGATGACAAAAACGAGATGACTGAGACAGTACAGCTCCCTCTAACAAACCGAGGGCCGTGTACATAGTGTCCGTCCACCTTTCTGATGACGTCTGCCTCCGCGCACAGAGATGAGGTGGGCATTGCTGCCTACACCGACGGCCTAGAGGCCCGCGCATCTGCACCTTTGTACCTGACGCACCAGTGCCGACCCAACTCCACCACTACGCACGCCTCGCGGCGGGTGCGCCGCAGCAAGAAGGTATCGGTCCCCTGAGGGTGATAGTCTAGCCCTGCTCGCTAGAAAGACCCCCCCCTCGCTGTGGGTCATGCCTACGCAAAATCTTGCCGAGGCAGCGAGGGGAAGAAAGCAGCAGCTCAAATGTGCCCTTGGATCTGCAGGGCACGTACGTTGGCACGTTTCCGGCGTTCTCCGCGTGTGTCTATATCCCCGTGAATGAATGGATTGATCACGAGTGTTTGGCTAGTTTACTGGAAGATTTCCTAGATTCATCAAAACACGGGTAAGTTAGAATTTTGCACAGTTAGTTCACGTCCATCTACAACCCAAAGAGCTGCTTAAAAAACGCTCCTTCCCAATATAACTGCATGTCTACGATGGCTCCAAGCTTGCATTTTGCGAAAAGTTGTCATACAAAATGTGCGCATCCTCCCTAAGTCTCGCGGGCGTTCATGATGTCTATGGGTGCCGTGCTTAAACAAAACACGAATTGCAGCAGCAACAGTTTGGAGAAGTGCTGTGGGACGCGCGAGAAGAGTGTATGTCCCCATGATCTTTTAACGGCTCAGACAAAGAACTTCAATGCTGACTATTTTCGAAAGCAAACACGCATACACTTCACGCGGCTACCTCCACAAGCCTACTCTGAAATTACAATCCGAATAGGATCGGTTTCAGCTTCGGAAAAAATATACCTACTAATATTGCGGCACTGGTTTATTGAAAAAGGAGTTGTTTTACCGGGGCCGAATTCTCTCGGCTCGCGAAAGCTGCGACCACGAAATCGCGTGCCTTCGCACGACCTACGCCGTCGAGGGGCGCTGTTGAAGGAATTTCACTCGAAGCGACCTCGGTGCCAAAAGCAAGCATTTTGCCTTCACCAGCATCCATTTCACTTCTTTATAGTGTAGCTATCTCTCGCTCTGCAGCTGAATTTCTGAGCTCAACAATGTCACAACAACGCTACGACGACGAGGTTCGCGGCCCTGCCTGTACACACGCCAGCCCTCGCCACCACGCCGAGCGTTTCATCTCGCTTCAGCCGATTTCTCTCGGCTCGCGAAAGCTACAATACAACCTATCCCGCGGCGGTGCCTTCGCGCGACCTGCGCCTCGAGGGGCGGTGCTTAGGCCTTTGAGGAGAAAATAAAGTTTAAGGAAATTTCCTTTATAGCCCGAGGATCGACTGGTGGGTTGGTGGGCAGGACGGCGGAAAAATATATTCCGATGGACAGAGCGCTCGCTTCCTTTCGAAGGAACTGGATGCGATTCGATCGGACCCGCTGCTACTCTACATTTTTTGCACCGCTCCAAATAAGCTACATAGCATTTCGCCCTATCCCTACAACCCCAACCCAACCGACCCGACCCAAACGTATAGCATTGGAAAGTGCTAGGTCGCTGTACCACAAGCAAGCCTAGGCTGCGGCAAGCAACGGCCCTACCTAGGTTGCTGTGCATCGTCAGCGCTAAGTTGCTGCACGGGTGAAGGGCTAGGTTGCTCTAGCTGCCGTCTAGGCTAAGCCGCGGCGCAAGAGTGGGCTAGGTTGTAGGGCTATTGCTGCAGGACTAGGTTGCTGTGCACCGTAAGCGCTAGGTTGCTGCACGGTGAGAGGCTAGTGTAGGTCACGATTGAAATCGGTAGATAGCCACGGTAGACGGTGATGAAAAAGAGATATCAACACACGACGAGATGCTACTTTTTCTTGGTGTTGTTCCGGCTGGGATTTTACGAGGGCATCATATCATACTTCGTATACAGCAGATGGGGAGATCTATACATTGTTCCTATTGCGTATGTATGTACTGTACACCACAAGCATTTATATTCCTGATGGTGTCGTATTTGTCGAGAGAAGGCGGGGCAAAGCATTGCGCACAGCAGCAGCGTCAGTACAGCCTTCTTGTTCGATAGCATTATTTTTCTGTTCGTCGTTACGCCATTATTATGGAAAAACGAGCGGTAGCAGCAGTAGCAGCAGTATTCGTGCGTCGTAACACACCTGTCTACTATCTTTGGTTGCGTTCGTGACTCGCCATCGTACAGAGAGACTATTTGGAGTCTTCAGCAGTATACAACGCAGTATCATCCCTTGAAATCAAATCAAATGGGAAAGCAGCCGTGGAACACGGCCATCTATTAAAAAATGTTTACCGTATTGGCGCACCACGGGCCCGCTTTTGGAGGTTGATCCTTTGGCTGTTTGCTCTGCCTGCGCACCGCCAGCCAAAATCGTTGAATTCAATGTGCTTCCTATTCTACTTACTTCGGCCTCTGCAGAGTGCACCAACTCCTTTTCCCTTGAAATCACTTACTCCTCCGTTTGCACGCGGGCAAATAGTAAGTGCAACTTCGGTCTCTCTCTCTCTCTCTCTCTCTCTCTCTCTCTCGTGTTGTCTCTGCAATGTTCAATTCTATTAGTGGTCGGCCGTCAACTATGCAAATTCTCGTTGTCATTTTGGTTCGAATTCAACGTTTTCTCTCTTTGTTGTGTTGTCTGGGTCTTTGTTCACCGATCGGTCCTGGTCCCGTCAGTCAGACAGATAAGTTGTAGTTCGGTGTCCCTTTTAGTTCGATGTCCACGTAGTGTCTTGGTCTCTGGCTTAGTTCACCCAAGAAGCTGTCCTCTTGCGTGCATTGGTGAAATGCAGCGACATTACATGGATGCATCATGTTGATATGGTTGTTGGAGATGTTGATAGCGCTTTGTTCTCCAACCCGGAGGGACTCTGTTGATAGGGACCTAGCCTCCCCCTCATACCGTGGGGAGGCTGCCCTAGGGGAGGGGTTTTACGAAGGGCATATGGCTCTCCTCCTGTCCATAGATTCTTTATGAGTTCAGGTTGACTATGCAGCTGTAAGGTGTTCGTTGATCCATTACACACTCCGGAGGCGTATTGGTTGTTTCGCCGAGCGCGCGTGCGGAGCTGTGTTGGTTCTGCACTGCAACGAGGGAGGGCGTCACGGCGACTTGCCGACTTCATCAACAACTTCTTTGCCATGCATGCGCGAAACAAAATCTCTCAATCTCACCCGTATCTCTCCAAAAGGTTTGGCGTGATACGGTCTATAGTTTACTGCATCGATACTTCCATGTTCGTGATTTTTCCACGTTTTCGGCTAGTAGTCAGAGCTCAACTTGTTGTCAAGCTCATCGAGTTGCACCAACAAGTAGCGCGCTTTTCGGACTGTTGTGTGCATTGAAGGCAGTTGCAACCTTTGTTCTTCACACTCACATTATCCCAAGGCTTCTAACCTTGTATGAGCTACCTACTTCCCGCCGCGTGGCATTGCTAATGCTGTTGCTTCTTCCTTCGAAAAGTTATCACTGCAAAACCCAACTGGTGGCAGTGAAAATCAACGAACTTGAAGTGACCGCTCGGGGCCGTTGGCCTTATTGCTTTAACGCAACATTCTTTTTCCGGCATTTAGCATCTCACGGCGCCGAACCTTGGCATTGCCCATCAGCTCATGTTATCAGTTCCTTCCGGGTGTACTGTTCTTGAGGCAAGTCGTTCTTTTCTTGGCGAGATATCGGCTAGAGCATGAACAGAAACGCGCAAAATCCACACTTCAAAAATCCCCTCTTCGCCACTTGCTCTTCCCCTGGCGCCTTTGTTTCTTATATTTCGCTCCATCTGTCTACTATCCACGTTACGATGGTCGACCGCCTTTCTGAAGTTTGCCACGATATCTCAGTTTGACTTTGATGTTCGGTCCGTTTCGATTTCCGTTTTTGACGTTTCATAAAAATACGGCCTCAACGCACAATTCATGTCGGAAAAACGTTGTTAATGATTACAGCGAGGAGGCAGGTAGCTTCGCACGCAACGCGGAAACGAATCTCCTGCCAGCCTCGATTGTTGCATATGAATAACAGCTTGAATCGCCGCTCTCGCAGTTAACAGATTCACGGGTATTGTCCTCGTGATGGTCAACTCTGGACTTATTCAACTAGGGATATATACGTGCAAAGAATGGCATCTCTGCTACATAACGTTGAGACTCTGTGCATTGGCTCTCTTAGAATACACGCGCCATAAAACGCCCCTGATGCGTGAGATAGATAGGTCTCAGCGCAGTGGCCTCGGCGTACTCTCGTATTCGAGTTCAAGGACCGGCAGAAGACTGTACGTCAGTGCAATAGAAATGTTTACCGCAATACGCACACACCCCACAGAAGCTCGAGGAGACCACGAAGACTCAAAAAGAACTTCAACATCAAGTCAGAGGAATTGCCGAAGAAAGCTTAACTGCAAATTGAGCATTTTCCAGCAGGCTGCAGGCCGGTGATCTGAGGAATAAACCAAAGCAGTTGCTTCACCAAAGCACGCTACTCAACTGATGATCTACAGCAAAGGCTCTTCTTGACTCCGAGGCACAGCTATACAGCTGGTTGCTGATGTTACCGAGCCGCATTCCCTTTTGAAAATGGATGTGCATGTGCAACGCAGTTAGCGTACGAAAGGTCTGGAGACGAAAGCGTCGATGGAAAGCTGTCACTGCTCGCGTCAAAAACAGTTCTTATGGGGTTACACAATGCGGAACGTGCCATACTACAGTAGCTCATCTTCGAGCTTCTGCAACAATTGGCGCGGACCTTTAACCTAATAAGGCTACCTGCCGGTTGGGAATTAGCGGTAGAATTATAGTTAATACGGTATAACAATATCCGCAGAAAGCAGTCACCCGCGAAACACAACGATGCCGCACAACAGTAGCCAAAAATTGCGTGACATTACGATGAATATACACCTTCTTGGTCGTGGTTGACAGAGACATATCATGTCACACGCGTCTTTCCTTCCACCTTTTCTTTCTCTCCTGCCAACATGTCAATCAGGCAGATGGAAACTCCAATCTACCATATCTTAAACATGAAGATATCCAAGGGCGTCTTCCCACCGTGAACTACTACTACCCAGGTACGCTGCGTCCACTGTGCCACCAAAGCATATTTTTACCGGAAGGAAGGATAATGAACCTGGATATATAGCAAAACGCTAATTGTGTTTATTTGTGAATGATAAATACCCATAGACGGCGATATCATGCCATTCTAGTACTCCAGGCCGTGATTCAGCGCAAGAGTCTAGTTTCCCATACAATGGGAGAATGCCCCACCATTCAGAAGCGAAAGGGCACGGGACGCTACAAATGTATTACACTGAATTGATCGGGGTCTCACGCTCACCAATAGAAGAAAACTTAAAGTTACACCCAATCAACGGATGGACGACCAACATGCTGCAAATAACGTGAAATGGGTAGGTTTGTCACATGCAGGAAAAACCATGAAAGATCATCAAACTCCAAAGCAACGCTGAACTGTTACAAGGCTCTTCCAGTGTTACATAATAAAACCTTGGAATAAAATATTACATGTTGCAACGATCGGCATGATCGTTGAACAAGCCAACGTACCCAGCCTGGGAAGAAATACTGCCGCAGCGATGCATGCTATAAGGCAACCTCCACTTCCATCGCCCCGGTGGTATCGTTGGTATCCCCGTAACCTTCTAGAGATCAGGTCAGGGGTTCGAATCCCGCCGTAAGCGAGCTTTTCTTGCAAAGTGAGTTTTTCTCTCGCTTCCGCTCCTGGCCTAATGGATAGCGCTAGTTCGTGTGTACACAGAGGGAAGAGAGTGCTGAACTCTTCTCGCATTAAAAATCGAAGGCAAAGTACCGCAAGAGGGGAGGGTAGAGAGGGGCTCTTCTGTGTGACCACGGGTTGGAGTAAACGGCACCAGTGCTGTGAGCCCTGATTTGAAGTGAAGACGTGAAAAAAAAAAAATCACATGCGACCACCGGACCAGCCAAGACACTTTTACTACTCACCATTCATCAGTCGATGTTTTCCCTTTTCCTCAGAGTCGTCATCGCGGAACTGGCCCGAACGGCCAGGATATTGGGAAACGCCACATCCAACGTGTTTAAAGACGCCATGCACCCCGCCAACCACGAAGTCTTATCGGGTTGTGCATCCGCGGCCGCGGTTACAACCGGCCTCGCCCCTGGGTTGAGGGTGACCCGCAAAGGCTTGACGTTGGCGGTAGGGTCCCCATGGCGTAAATCACGGCGGAAGGCATTCAAACGCTCGCTGATAATGTCTCGCAGACGTACCATATGCGGTTCTCCCACGCCAGCTGCGGCCGCGGAAGAGAGAGCGCTGTCCAACGGTGAAGAACGCGCTGATGCATTCCTCCTCAGTGCTCATGTCCATGTCTGGGCATCGTGCCGTCAAATCCTCGCCCGCTGCATACGGCTCGGCTTGCTCTGGGCCTTTGCGCTGCTGCATATCATTCACAGCAACCGTACCTCGGCGGCATTATTTGTACGACGCGGTCTTAACGCCCGCGACGCTAGTACACGTGGTCACACAGGCCCCCAAGCTGCGGTACACATCGATACCCAACGCCTTCAGCGTCGGGTTGCAAACAATGACCACCTCATCATTACGAGGTATGACCGCAACCAAGAACGGCTACAACGACACCAGTCCTAAGCTGGTGTGCAAAGCGACAAGCATTGGGCAGGTTGTCTGTGCGACCTCGAGGACGCGGCCGTCCGCCACTTTCAGCTTCCCCGGGTTTTGTATATGCCCCCACGACCTGCAAATCCAGAAACGAAGCTTGCAGCCTACTCACGATCTGCTGGCGTTGTGGTGAGCCCCAAGCCAGAATCCAGAATCATAACGGCGTCTATGGCAGTCATTTCGGCAGCATCAAGTAACGGCAAACTCACGTGGCACAATTTGTCCTGCAAATCAACCGCGGTACATTCAGAGCCAATCAGACCTAGACTACCTGCTGGCTGAACTCCGCGAAAGGTCGGCACGAAATAGATCCCTGAGGGCCAAGTTGCACACACCCCCACAACCTCAGGCGTCGGTTATCTGGGCAAGTCGCAAAACATAATTGAAGCGTCCTTGTACACGGAAAAACGCCCAGAACATGCAAAACACCAACATGCACCAGGTGGATTCGCAGGTGGTCTCAAAAAAACGCTAGCCCAGCACATCGTCGTGCACGCGAGCTCGCCCCACACAACGTGGACGCGTCCATCATATTACGCCATGAACTGACGCACTTGGGAATAATCGAAATTATGCAAGAAACGCTCGGAGACAAAGTTAATGCATGACCACGCTCGGGCAGAGATGCTTGCACCGCCTCCAATAATAGACCCTGCAAACGTCAAGCTCCATGTAGAACTTGGTACGTATAGTACCAAGTTCGATGCACAAGGTCGCACGATTTCGTTATCAAACTGGCTGAACGAACGGTGAGAAATGTGCGACGCCAGCAAATGCTGCATCCGAGACACCTTCGGCATCCGCAAGCTCGGGTGCACAAAGACGAGCGACCAAGTGAAAATATGCCCAACCCCATCGGTGCGCCCCCCCCTCTACCGATGTTTGCCATCGGGATTGGTTTTCAAAGCTTGGCAACGACGTTGTAAAACAAGCCAATTCACTTCGTCAGCTCGGCAACCAGGTTACCGTTTGTTTTTTCACCTCTGTTTGTTTTTTGGCGGTAACCATAGTGGTGGTCGAGTAGATCATGTTGTGCGGGGTCGAGCCACCCCCCCCCCCCCCCCCCCCCCCCCCCCCCCCCCCCCCCCCCCCCCCCCNGAATGACTAACGCATGCGATCCGCGCAGTGAGTTGACACACGGCCTTGACATCAGCCAAAATCCCCCTGCTTTTACAGAGGGAGTCCAGAACGAGCAACTCAAAAAAGCCTCACCAAAAAAGCCCAGCAGCACGTGCATGCGCGCTATCAAAAACAATCTCTACTTCAGAGATCACATGCGCAACACACAAACAAGCCAGCAAGGTATCGTACATTGACGCTGTAGGATAGCAATGACACGAATGATTACAATACCCTGACCAAAGTAGTAGGAAAGCTGTTTACAAGCTCAACAAATTCGCTACGTTGCTGCCACCAGTACAGTGACAGCGCGGTATCCCACCAACACACACCAACACACGAACTTCTATTTACAGTCATCTGACTTTCAAAACCCTCTGGCAGAGCAAATAGCAATACTACTGCTGCCGCTGTGGGTTACCATATTGTCTTAAACCGGCAATAGTTGTCTAGTTATGTCTGCCTGTTTTGCTTACACACAGTACCGAAAGATGTCCTTGCTGCCTTCCCTCGCCTCCCATACTCAACCTCGATTTTCACAATCAACGGCTGTACATCAGATCACATAGATACGAAGATGAAGCGAATTTCATTCAACTACAACGTCTCGCTAAAGCGGTGGGTAGCACGTGGGAGAGGGGGAAGAGAGAGAGAGAGAGAGAGAGAGACAAGCTGTTTGCTTGGTGTTTTCGTATTAAGACGTCTTTCCTTTTGTGTGGCCCACAGGTTAAGCTATTTTGTTGCTTTTGACCCTGTTTTCCAATTTTCTTCGAAAATTCCTTACTCCGAGTACTTAATAAAAATGCGTGTCCTTCGGCCGTCGCACAACACATGAAAATATTCATTATCATGTGCGTCTCTGCCCTTCGAACACCGAGAGCAGTAGAAAACCGTTAAGCCGCTATCCCACATAGTACATGTCGCTGTCAAAGGAGCCGTCCAGACAAACAAACACGCGGGTGAATAACAAGAACAAATTACATTTCTGTCCAAACGCGGCGGAGTAATCTATCGCAAAGCAGGTGGCAAAAAGAGGTGTGTGTGCCCCTGGTGTTGAAGTGGGAAAATGATATGCATTTTGATTGGACAGCGGGACTTCTGTTTTTTGACAGGTAGGCAAGCAACATAACTCAGAGGTAAACTGACTACACTGTACAACGGAGTTATTTGTTCCTACGAAATATAAACTACAAATATTCGCACACGCGTAAAAAACTAATAACTGTAGAGCATCGATAATTTACCCATCATTCATCAATATATATATATATATGTATGTGTGCGCTCTTCTCGGAAGCCTTTCGGGGTTTTTTGTCGAAACGTCCTTGGTGTTGATGCCCGCGGGTGATGTAAAGGAATATACTGATGACGTTGTGAAGGCGAAAAAACAGAGTTCGGCACAAAATCGCTGTGAGAAATGTCGGTTGAAGTCTGACTGAATGAAGACGGTGATATTGATAAACAGAGAGTGAGAGCTGACCCTGTCCACCGGGGGCAACGGATGCCGAAACATACCATTGTAAGGCATACGGCATCAAACAGCCCCCTGGTTGTAGCTAGATACGATCGTGGGGACTGTTGGGATGCTTCGCTCAAGAAGAACTGGAATCACATCGATCCTCCGAAATCGATCGATTGATCAGATATCAGATAAAGCCCTTCATATGAAGACAAGAACAAACCACAGCCTCAAACGTGTAGTCTGTGAGGGTATGTATACTTTCTATGAGCTGGTTCACGGAAATGAACCCAAATTTATTCAATCGCTGTCAGACGAATTATGTACACAAAATTGACATACCGTAAGGTTGGGAGTCAGTCCACAGGGGTGCGACCGATTTTCAAAGCGTAACTTCTCCACACCAAGAGGGAACAAGCGCCAACTGATACTTCTCGGGGAAGCTCCCGATGAGATATATTCCAAAACCACCCTGTTAGAGAGTGACAACCTCTTCGTTGTAGAATGTAAGGCTTTGAAAATCGTTCACACCCCTGTGCCCTGACCCACAACCTTTACGGTATCTTGTATTATAGTGACCCCCATGAGCAAGGGAGCAAATCACCCTGACCTGAATTTTGATCAGAGCGTGGCCACAGTGCAATGGGCGTAAATGTGTCTCGGCCAATCAGAAGCCTAAAACATGATATACAACTTATACTGCATGCAACCCCACACTTCCCACTTCTTTCAAACGTAGTTGTGGAATTGAAATTCCCATACTCTAGGGAAAACTGTCACCGTGGAAGCGTGTTATGCCCAAAATTCTAATTCGATGTCCAAAGTTTGACGTCATCGCGTTTCTACGGACGAATTGTTTACTGGAATAGAAATTCAGAAACTCGTGTTGGGTTTGCCTTGTATATATAGAAGAAAATGCACCATGCCTTGTATATGGTTCTCAGATTTTAATTGCATGGAGCAACAAAGTTGCGCACACCGAAAAAGAAAATGAGCCAATGTTTGCAGTGCTGGCCGGCGTATTTGGGGTCTCCGGTGTGGAACCACCGAAAACCGGTTCCAAGACATGAACACCACTTCAATTTTTTTTTCCGCTGCGCGACAATTGACTGACCCTTTCAAGAACGTTTTGCAGCACCACTTGTAAAACTGGAGCAGCACGAGAATTTGCAGTGAAAAAGTGACCCCGTGGACCTGATTCTTTACTCATATCAAGTAGTTTGGGGGAATATCACGATGGCGAATACTTCATGACACAAAAGCTAAAAAATGCACGCACTTTCTGGGAGTTAGACTTTGAAACTTTGCAAACATGTACATTCGGTTGTTAAGAAACGCTATGCGATGGGACCATCTTATTTTCTTCCATGGTCGTTCGCCGGTTATTCCGGGTCCCAGGAGCAGCACATGACCCCTCTAGGAGCCCGCATGTCCGACGACAGGGGAAAAAATGACAAAGACACTCCGCACGTGTGTTTTGTACTAACCCAATGAATATGTGTGTAAGTTTTCGAAGTCTGACTCCTAAAAACGGCGTGAAGTTTTCTCATCGAATGTTCTTGTATCCATTTCCTTCAACCAGCTTGTCAACCTCAGCCCCAATAGCACACGCTCGGCACCACTCTGCTGGCAGCAATCGAGTTTGCATGTTCTCTATGCTTTCTTACCTCGCGTGAGAGAGATGTGTGGGTAGATGGACATTGATTCCCCATAGAAAGGACGGGAGGCATGACGCGACTGTTCTGGTTTTTCACCCTACGGATAGTAGACAAGAGGACAGCAGAGTAGGGGGGAAAGGAAACACGAGGGAGGGAGCGCCTTAAGACAAAACACATGACTGCAGTGGAAGAGAGCAAGACGTAGATGGCTGAAAGGATAGACATGTTAACCGGACTGATATTGATGATAGAGACGAAAGCACGAATACGAACTGGACCTATCCCCATATTGTTATTATTTTGTCGTGTCGCTAAGCCCCCCCTCGCAGTGTCCTTGAAGTGATGTTTTATCGTA